GAAACCGAGGAATAACTGGAAAGCGTAAAGAAAGGCATAGCTAAGCTGTGGGAGTGAAGAGGAAGTCAAAACACATTCAGTGTAATGGCTCACTATGACTTGAAAAAAGAGTTGGCACTGAGGGGGATTGAGTGCAATGGGTACTACCATTTATCTTATTCAGGTGGGCTGTATTAGCTTGTCTTTGTGGTAGGTTCTTATGTCTTAAAGACAGAGAAAGGGATCAATACAGCATAAGAGTGTAAGGAGTGCAGGCTGGGGAGCTTCCAAACCCCGCGCTGTGATTGCAGTTGTGGAGTGGGGGCTGTGAGCTTGTTCCCATCCCCTGCTCTGCAATTGTGGAGTGGGGACTGGGAACAGGCTTGGAGCTTGTTCTCAGTCTCTTCTCCCTTTATAGGAACAGTTCCCCACTCAACCTGGAGTTGGCAGGGACCTACCGCTGACAAAAACATTTCCCAGACACCTTCAGGATGCTCAGGGAAGCATGTGCAGCTTGGAGGTGGCTGGGAACTGCCATGTTTCAGACTTCCCTGCACAGCCTGGTGATAGAGTGATCAAGGTCCAGGGCTTGGAAAGAGCTGCAGGGCTGGGGGATAAGTCCAAGCTCCCTGCCCCAATCTGTTGGTGGGGCAGCTAGCAGTGAGATAGCTGCTAGATGCCCCATCAGTGTATTGGGCAGGGGGCTGTGATCAGCCCCTCCCCTGAAGCTCTTTCCAAGCCCCATGCCCCTGATTGGGGAGCCAAGCCAGGAGACATTGCCCTGCCTCAACAGCAGGCAGCCCAGTGGAGTCAGGAGACAGCTGTTTCCTGGCCTGGTACTCCCTTTTAGCCCTGGGCTAGCACCCAGGGGCAGCCTGTGGCTCCCCCCCAGTGGTGGCAGGGGCCCATTGCAGGACTGAAGGGAAATGGGTGCAAATCTGCTCCTTAATCCCCAGATGTGTAGACTCCTGCCCAAAAACCATTACTCTGGAGTAGTTTATGCCAGACAAAATGCCTGTGTACATGTGCCCACTGAACAGAAATGTTACTCTCCTAACAACAGAGTATGTATTTATCATATCTCCATACTCATGTAATGAGCCCTCATTTGGTCCTTTTCATGTGGGCATTTCCACATGTCCATAAATAATTATGGAGGCATTCTCATATATTGAGTATTATACATGAAACAGAGTTACAGTCCTTTTACTTCAAACTGCACTGTTTGAATTCAATATCAATTTTAATAATGAGTTTTTCATGGGTCAATTGAATTTTAAAACATATCTTCTTGGTCAAGATTTAACTCTGGCAGAAGAAACATATAAGGATCAGTCCTTTTTTCTTTTTTTGAAATATGTCCTAAATTTTTCTTTTGTCTTCTAGCTAAAGATCTACAGGTGCTATTAATGCCAAATTTCCTATAACTTGTTAGCAATGAAACATAGGAGACTTTTAACATTTTGTGGTGTTATTTCCTTTCCCACACAGCAGTAACTCTGTGGAATTCATTGGAATGATTGCTGATTTACTGTTGTGTAAGAAGAAAATAAGGATTTTAAATTTTACCACCAACCTGTATTTCTTCTACAAAGATTAAGCAATTATTGATCCTGGCTGGATTCTTATGCTCTCCCATACATCAGTCTGACTCATTCATTCTACTCTTCACACAGGTCCTTTCCTAAGGTCAGTGTCTTATGGGCAAAATTAAGGTGGTGAAAATAAACCACCAACAATAAAGTTTAGCACTAACCCTGCCGTATAAATTATTTGCTATATGCTACTATTGTTGCATCTTAACAAAAAATACACAGCTCACCATAACTCTTTGCTGTCTTCCGCTTCTTTCTCCACATTTCTTGTATAAACACATGTAAAGAAAGCATGAGGTACAATATACGTTGTCCTCGCCATACAATTATCACCACTTGCTTATTTCTACAAACAACATAGATTTATTGAAGTCATGACAATGATGATTGCCTAAGCTTTTAGTATCTCTTGGTAAGATCTGTACTTCAAAACTTTTAAGTATAAATAAACAAAGTTCCTGTTTGGTAATATATACATCACAATACAGTAATCCTAGCTCTGACCCAAAAGGAAGCACATTCTTTTAAAGTTAAATTCATCGTGTATGGATTAAATATCCATACTGGGTATCTGATGTATTATGTGGGAACTATTAAATGTATAGTATTCTTAACTATTCATTTCCTTGTTTTCAGATTTTGTATATGATGTGATAGGTAAGAACATTATAAAAAGGACATCACAGTGAGTCAGTAACCCTAACTTGCCTCTGAGACCATGCTTTTTGGTGGTTGAAATTTTGCGTTGTATTTCTTGAGTAGCTAAATGAAGAAATAACTTTGTAAAAGTTGTGGTAGTGTTGAAGTGATATTGCAGCCATGATGGTCTAGGAAACATGCAAAACAACAAGAATTTTTTTGTGGGTGGTATCTTTTATTGGACCAAATATTTGGTTGAGACAGATTTATAGAGACAAGCTTTCCTGGATTCTTAAAGAATGACTGGTGCTGGCCAATTCCTTAATGCTAGGCACAGAACATTCAACCATAACTGACAAAATATAGAGGTTTCCCACTTAGCTAAGAATCCTTACACTGTAGAGCTCATCTTCATACACAAAATACAACAAAGCAGACTTAAGGTTTTAGAACACAAAACTTTCTTTGCCCAGGGGAATTAAACCCTCAAATAAATCATTTAAATTATTTTTCTCAGTCACCCCCTGTGGGGAAAAAAAGTCTATAATACTTTGCATTCACATAGTGCTATTTCATATATAGAACTCAAGGCACTTTACAAGGGTGGTTAAGCTTTATTAGCTGGATTTTACAGTTGGCCTAGCTAAGTAAAGAGATTTTAAGCAATTTACATGAGGCAATGGTTCTAGTGGATTAAACATGGATCTTTCACCTGTGAGCCTGAAGACCCGTTCCCAAGCCTTCTTCAGACTTCCTGTGTAACCTTTTCCAAATTAGCTTTTGGCTTTTCTGTTACTCCATTTGGAAAATAGACCAATTCACATTATTTCCAGGAAAATGGAATGTATTGGTGGGAAATGAAGAACTGTACATTAGAGTCCTGTGTTTTTTCTCCTTTTTGGTAACTTGGGCTGGCTAAGTTGACTGTGAGCTAGGACTGTATGAAGCTTTGGGTGCTGATTTGATTCAGAGGAGATTTGGCCCAATTCAGTGGCTGAATCTCCAAATCCAAATCAAATCAGGGGACCAATAAAAAGGTCTGAATTGATTTGAAGCTCTCCAAATTGATTCAGAAAAGATTCAGAGAGCTTCAATTATTTGGGCAATCCCTGCCCGCTGCATCAGAGAGCTGAAGCCGGACTTTAAGCTGGTAAGTAGGGGGCGGGGATGGGAGGCTGGAAGCTAGGCAAGGGGGTGGGGGGACCCCTGCCAGGCCCCATCCCCTGACTG